AAGACAAAGGAAGCGCTAGATTTATGTGTGTGTGTGTATGTGTGTGCGTGCGTGTGTGTGTGCGCGCGCGCGCGCGCGTGGGTGGGTAAGTAGGTGTGTGCGTGTGTAACATGTTTTTTTATTAAAAATAATTATAGCTTTTATTATACGAATATGATATCGTTGTTATTATTATTATTATATCGCGACAGTGACATACTTATGACTAACAGAAAATATCTATAATGTACACGAAGAGATGAAGAGAAGTTACTGTATATTGATGGAAGCAATTGTATGCTACTACAATGAACACTGATCCGGATTAATGTTCATCATCGATAAACATCGCATCATTCTGGATCTTTCTTCTCAATAAATCTGATATATAAATACATTGCATGCGGCTACACAAGCCACATGTGTAAGAATGTGAATTTGACTATTAAACAAAAAAATGTGAATTTAATTATTTGTCTTCACTTTAATATATATCTTACTCCACGCATCGATTTCGCCTTTACACTATGACTTAAGACTTATAATAAGACCCTTCTTCACGAGTATTCGTTAAACGCGGATTGAACATACTCTTCTATTTACATTATAAAGTATATAAACATAAGTATTCCACACTTGCATCATCACACGTTCCACATCTACTTTCACTCACGTTTCAACAAATATCGTAAGAACACTCGTGTTAAAATACACACACACACACACACACACACACACACACACATTTATCCTTTGTATCATACTTGTACAGCCTTTTTTGGAACACTCTTCTCGGGATGCTGCATGCCTATCCATTGCGAAAGATTACTAGGGAAAAAAACGAACGACTGCTAAGACAACCCGCGTCTGTGTCGTCGCCTCGTTCGTAATTAAATGCTTTATTAATATAAGTTCCTTTCTGAGATTTTCGATTTTTACACGTCTCTATTAATCGTTCATCATTCATTCCTCATTTGCTGCCGGTATCGATTCGAAAAAGGTATAAACAGTCTAAAATTGTATTACAATAGTAATACTCGTCGATTCAAAAGATGCATCTTTGATCGCGCATTAGATATAATACACATTGAAGTTAATTTTGAGAAATTCTATTTCTTCTTAACTGCTAATCTTTTCATTTTTTTACTGTAGATCTTAATCCAACCGGCAGATTAAGATGACAGGCGCTTCAAAGCTAGACACTGACGTTTATTTATGCATTATGTAATATATATCGAGCGCGTCACAAAATTTATAAATAATTTTTATTTTTTAATAAATTGTAATACTTTTATTTATTTTAATTACTTAATGCATTTAATATTAACATATCGTCCAGCGTATCAAATTTAAGCCACGCGTTAACTTCCACGCGAAATATGATTTTTATTTAATTTAATAAATCTAATTTTTTTTAGGTAATAATTATTTATTTAAATTTTAATCAAAATAATTTCCTAATGCGCATTAAAGCTCAAAATATATTTATCACACACAAACACACATAGAGAAAATGAAACATAATTTTAATCTTTTTCTCGTCTGGTAAATTTTACTCACGTCACCGATTGGATCAATTCGATAGATTAAAAGACGTTATTGATACGTTAATGATTCGAGATACATTTTCCGTGCATATGCACGCAATATCTTTTTATCTTTTTGTTTGGTAATTATCTAGCGCCCAAATAAATTAAATATAGATGGATACTTTAGACTGTCACTCCGATCGCATTTTGCGTCTTGACGATGGCAGGCAAGTAATCCGCCATCCACAATGTCGTTTCTTCGTCTTCGCTTTCGGAATCCGATTCTTCCGGTAATGGTTCCCGCATCGCACCATATCGCATTAGCTCTTTGCGTGCCTTCTTTGTGAACTCAGTGTTGACATTCAAGCTCAATTGATAGGCCGTTCTACCGCCGTATGTTCGGTCATTTAGACACGACGCTCGCTGACATTCCAGTAATAGAAAATCAAACAACGACCAGTACTGATGCTCCACTGCGAGATGAAGTGCCGTGTATCCCGCCAGACCTTCCTTCGCCTTGAGATCAGCCCCTAAACGCAACAAAAGTCGTACCAGATCCACGTATCCATTGGTGGCAGCCACATGCAGACACATCTCACCTGAAATTAAAAAGCAAATGAGTCATAGAATAATAAACAACCGCAAGAACGACGTATTTTTTTTATTAGGATTTTAAAGAATACGAATTATCTTAAATTGCAAATCAATTGGCTGATCAAACAATTTAACATAATAGTAGCCACAAATACTCTATGTCTATCTATTTCTCTAGTTTATGTCAATAGAGTCATACCGTTGAATTCTTAACGTACGTAATTGATTTATTATAGATTTATCTCTCTTTGAATTCTCTATGATGGAAGTCAGAGACAGAGGAATGCACACGTCAAAATAAGTGATGCGATTGAATCATATGACTCCGACTCGCGACGAGACATAGATAGAACTAGGAAGAATCACGGTGAATCATTGTCGTCGGAGATTTGGCTAGAGTCCCGCGATCCAAACTAGGCTCGCACCGATTAAACTGCTAAAATTAACTGCACCGCATTACCAGTCGCATTGGCAGAATTTAATGTGGCATAACTTATACGCGCATCGCATTTATAAGACGCGCGCGTCTTATATTGTACTCTTTCTCTTGATGACAGAAATAAACCTAAAAGATTGCAAACATTCATAAGTATAGTATAGTCGCGTAGAAATCTGCTATATAGCTTCTGTTTTTACCATGCAAGATTCACGTATGTACGGTCGATTACATGGTGACATTGAAAGTATCAACGAGATTCTTAACTTATTGTCAGATTCAGGATGTCGTATTTAAGATGTCTAAATAATATACATCGCTACAAAGTACGCAATATGAAAGATTTGATTAAATTTGATTGCTACGCGATTATTCGAAATTTGGAGCACAGGATGCGAGGTCCCTATATTTAGTGGTCATTAGGGTCAGACGCGAAAGGGGATCGATTTTTTTAAGGATGAAAGTCCGACAGAACCCACTAGTTTCGACGCCGCTGTGGGATTTCCCGATCAAGCGAGCTCAGCTAAGGCGAAGCGGGACGAAGCGAAGTGAAGTGAAGATATCGCGTGGCACGCAAATAGTCTTGTAGGTATTTTTAAATATTGAAAACATTTGACTGTGCCTGCCCTCCGTCACGCGACGCGGCGCAATGTGACAAACGCGCGCACGCAAGCACGGAGTCACGCCGAATTTCATCGTACACGCGAAAGTATTTCACTTCCGTTCGTCAGGAAACATACAATGTTCTCTCACCAATGGAATCACAGACGGTTATATGTGGTTCCTTTATTTTAATTACAAGAAACAACAGTCCATATCCTCTTTAGCAAATTAAATCGTAATCGAAATTATGTCATAAACAGTTCTGTCTAATTTCAATTTCTATCAGTTTTCATCTAATTCCAGTTCTACAATTTCCATCTAATTCCAGTCAAAAAGTGTTATCGCGAAATTCGATCGCGTTTATTGTCCGCTTCTTATTTTTCTAATTCACTCATTCAATCTTAATCGTTTTCAACTTGTTTTCAAAGAAAATAAGTGGACTTTAAAACACGATTATTTCAAATGAATCAATGATTTCTCAGTCACAGAAAATCCGTACTAAGAACTTAATTTATTACTCATCAATCCTTAAGTCTGGATGAATGTCGTACGAGTTATCTAACATCCGTACAGAAGTTAGATTTGCAATTTCGTTGTCAGTTTCGATTAATTGATCACAATCCGAAACAATCGCTTACGCCACAATCCGCACGTGCGTGCGTTATCCGCGAATTTGCAGCGGAATACACGCCAATGATGTTCATGTGGAATTTCCAAGACTTTGAAAAAATCTGAATATCTCGCGATGAACGATGCCGCCAGAATGATTTTCTCTTTCTCACTCTTTTTTTTCTATCTGCCTCGCGTGCGTGCGTGCGTGCGTGCGTGCGTGCGTGCGTGCGTCCCTATGTAGTATAGAAATAAGAATTATATAAAATTTTATAATAAAATTTAGGTTAAGGAGTACAATTATATAATTTAATATTAAATTTTGTAGACTTGTGCATTATATATAAAAGTTACTAATTCTTATCTGTAAGAGATACAACGCAAAATAAATTAAGAAAAAAATTTGTGCCTACTTTATATTATATCAATCTTTCTTCCTCCGACCTGTTTTTACATGTTTTTCATCACCGTGGCAGGAATTCCTCGTATGGAATATTGTGTATGTGTATGAGTACGTATCGCTATCGATCGTAAGTGACTGCGTTATTTATTATCAAATATTGAATAAATATGCTCATTGAAAATAGCCTAGAACAGCATTTAATGAGCCAATAAATTGGTCACGTGTAAGATTTGAAACACAAGGGTGTCACACCAGATATGTAAATCACGAAGACACCATTAGCTACAGCAGCAACAAGTACACGAAGACATTATAAGGAGTTGATTATATTAAATGTTCCAATTTGACAAAATCAATGTTTAATAATAGTGCGTTATTCATTTGGTAAATATTGTGTTTATCATTAGTATGAAATTTACTGATGAGTGGGGGTATGTCTCCTTTTTAAAAATATTTTCCGTATAACAAATCAAAGAACTGGAAAGGATACAGGCAGTAGGAGTCAAGCGTAGAAGATAATCGCACAAATAATATATCTATGAAGTGTAAAACTTCTTTATTCACTAAAACGCGCTTTAGTGCGTTTTAAAGATATCTATGAAGTTTCACACTTTATAGATATATTATTTGCGCGACATCTTCTGCGCTTGACTCCTACTGCTTGTATCCTTTCCAGTTCTTTAAAAATATTTTGTAATGAAATATTACATATATTTTTAATATTTCTAAAATACTTAATCACAATTTTGATAACAAAAAATCAAAAAAAATCAGGGCGAATGATACCTTAATTTTTTATCGTCACATCCACTCTTACAAAAAAAGAGGCATAATAATAGGTATGACAGATAGAGCGGTTTATTATTCCTAAGTATTACCAAAAAAAATTTGAACATATTATTAGTACATTACTAAAAAATGATTATTCGATTGATTTAATTTTTAATACTATTAACGCACGTTTAAAAATTCTCATTCATAAAGGTACGATATAGAAAAAAATCAAGTGAAGAAATCAAGAGGGATTGTACTTCTTGGTTTGTACCACCTTATATTTCAAAAATGTCAGACGAATTCAAAAGAATTAGTAAAACTTTTAACATTAAACTAGCTTTTATTACCTTAAATAAATTAAATAGTTCGATCAAGGAGTATAAAAACATCCTCCCAAGAGAAAAGAGAAAAAATTTGTATAAAATCTCATATAAATCCTACGATGCCTCTTATGTTGGACAGACAGGAAGAAAATTAAAAACTAGATTGGCTGAGCATCATAATCATATTAAGCGGAATAATAACAACCAATTGGTGATCACAGAACATCGGATTGAATTTGAACATGACTTCGATTGAGAGAATGTCGCGATATTAGATGAAGAGCGTTTTTTTAATAAACTTTTAATACCTGAGTGCCTTCATATACTTATACAACAAAATAGTCTCAATTTACGCTCAGATATAGAAGGTGTACATCAAACTTATATACAATTATTAAAAGACATTAAATAGTTACATTTTGTCGGTTTATACAAATTATTGTTTATGTATTGACATTGTCGTTTTTTCTTTCTATTTTCCTTGTTGACCTGACATGTCTTTTTTATTATATTAAATGTATTAATGTTTCATTCGAGCCGCGATCAACATACATTTTTTAACTTGATACTCTTTAGTGATTATAAATTTTAATTGGTTTTGATCCAATGTCGAGACGAATTCTTTCTATGCCTTGGGGTGAGTTACTAGTTTTTTAATGTTAATTTTGTAACTTGTTAGACAGAATGGTTTCGAAATATTTAGATATTAACTTATTAAGATAATTGTTTGAATGTTTCGAATAGATTACAATATCGAATCTGTTAATCTGATGATGATTTTTTTCTTGGACATGAAGGGATTGATATTTTGAAATTGTATTGCTGAGGATGGTTCCCAAGTAAACTTAAACGTACTTCCATTTTCCATTTTTTGGAATAAAGATTCTATTTTTGGGAATAAAGATTTAAGATTGCGTATTAACTACCACGCTGACTCTCATTCGCCCTGATTTTTTTGGATTTTTTGTTGTTGAATTTTGGAGAATCCGTAAGATTACATTATTACTATTTACAATTTTAATGTTCCAAAAATATTTTTTAATTTAAGAAACTCTTATAGGTTTTTGCGGCTTACTGTTCTATTATAATATCGCGTTATGTTAAAGTCACTAATTGCAAGACTACATAAAATATTACTGTGTCTGCCGATAAGTGTCGCTTCTATTGAACGAAGTTTTTCTGCCCCTTTAATATTTGAAAGTTTGGAACATAAAGACATAGAAATTGTTAAAAAAACAGTGTTGAATAGGTTTACTAGAAATAGAAAATGTAAATTAGATATTTTATTGTAAAATGTTATGCCTATATAATGTATATTATTTTTTTTGTTGATATAATTTTAAATAAAATGTTTTATAAATTAAATATTTACATAGTACTTTTTAAATGTAATGTTCATAATCATTCAAATAGTTTATCTTTTCAAATTTGACCTTAAAAAAAATGTCGCTTGCAGTGCGCAAATTTAATAATAAGTAATAAAGACGGAAAGAATGATGTAACGAGAATGACGTACATAATTAAATTTTCCCTCTTTCTTTTTAATTCGTTACAATTGGCGCATAATATTTCAGAAATCCGGCAATCCAAAAATCAACCCAAAAATACATGTATAAGTCCGCCAGTGGCCCTCCCCCCCTCCCCCTGACAAATGTCTGAATTCGCCCTTGATGAAATTAAACATTGAAGAACATTATTTTTTATACGAATATCATTTGAATTTTCAATTGTTTTCGTAAATAATTTTCATGCTTTTATTAAAATAAATTTTATTTGAAATGCAGTAGGGCTATTTTTATTGTCTTCAGTATTACGGAAAAAATTTGCTTTTGTTTTTTAACTGCTTATGGTTTAAAAAATTATTTGCGTTTACACATATATACATAAATGCAAATAATATATACATAATAACATGTTTGCATATATTGTAAACAGACAAACAATTCTATAAAGTCTATCATTGTAATATTTATGCGATCGCAGAACATTTGGTATATAATGATTCTGAGAAATTTGTTATAAATTCAAATTACCTCAATAGAATTATATCTTTTTTTTTTCAGAAGAAATATATTCTTGATAATACATTTTTAAGACGATGAAACTTTCAAACGTGAGCGTAAAGAACATATAACTCTCTCTCGATGAAATCACAGGAAATTCGCGCAGTTCCACGTGTCCATAGATCGTAATGTCATCGTTCACTACGCAAAGTCTTATATATGATTTATTCTGCGCGGTAAAAGCAGGGATTTTCCACTGCCACTTCGGCGTTCTTTGTGCCACGGGCATGGATCATCTTTTCTCGCATTAACGTTACGGTGATTAACGATAATTATGTTGCAAGCTTTCAAATAACTATCGCATAAATAATCGCGAAGTAACTTATGTCTGAGATCAACAATTCTTCATTGCATTAGTATTTTTTAGGTACGAATATCTTTCGCTCTAACACTTTTCCAATTTTATCTAATAATCGTGTTCATAGTTTCAATTATATTTATTTCTCATCGCAAACGATCGTTTCTTTCCAAAACTAGTGAAAAACTAGTGAGAAACTAAAGTAATCGAGTGCTTACCGCTATAATTACGTTGCTCCAAATTCTGAGGTAAGGCGGGTATTATCTGTCCAAGCATTAATTTGTTCCTTTCGATCGAGGACAATGGATCCGTGAGGGCCTTAGCGCAAGCAAGATCTCCGTTTTTGCATGCCAGATGAAGGGCTGTATTCCCATGAAAATTCCTTAGGGATAGATCTGCGCCTGCCAAAATTAATCGCCTGACGATCAACGGCTGATGCGTTAACACAGCCAGATGCAAGGGTGATTGCCAGTCGTAGTTCATGGTATCCAATAGACACGGATCAGGGGCCATTCTTATTAAACAAAACGCAGCCTCCATGAAGCCCTGCACGATCGCGATGTGCAATTGCCTGTATAGATAGAAAATACGTTACATAAGAAGAGGAGGCAAATTTAATTTTACTTGACACTTGCAACTAGAATTATTTATTAATTTTTAATATTGGAGTTTAGTATTCCGTTAATTTAATTCTTGAAAATATTTTTCTCGATATCTCTTTTTTCTGCAAGTATCGCATCTCTTTTTTTTTATATAAAACGTGCGTCACTGTGCAATTTATCTTGTTATTGTTGCTCATTTGAATTCCGAAAAACGATTCTTATCAAAAAATGAAACTCATTTCATTAAAATAGTCAATGAGTCCGAGTCAGTCACACGTACACCGCATGTCAAATGTATGTATAGTTAAGTCATTCCACTTACGCCAACGTCAATAATATGTGCTCAACTGACGTATGCTATATATTTGTAAAAAACAAAGCAAAAATAAGAGCAAGTCGCGATAGTGAAGCGAAAGAAAATGGTTTTCTCATCTCGATTTTGTAACGAGGAACCCGGTTAAAAATAAATCGATTTGATGTTGATCGATCAATCATTTCTGCCTGGGATCAGACGATTGATATATGAATTACAAATTTTGAATTTATATGCATAACTCGCATATAATAGTAGATATTACGCTCAAAAAGCGTAGATATTGTTATAGTAATCGCAGGACTACTATAACAATATCTACGCTTTTTGAGAGTTATTTTAATTAAGTATTTCCCCGCGCGATATATTGTCGCCACCGTTGGATCGTACATTAGCATAGCATGCAGCGTTATATTCGATCCTGGACTTATTGATCGCGATCGCAAACTCGATCTAGCCGCAATAAGTTAACAGAACTAATAAATCTCTTGATTTACGAAATCGGTAATAAATGTAAGACAGAGAGTCTAAGCTAAGCAATTATCAGAATGTTTAATTAAACAAAAAAAAGTGATATTTTATATTATTTGTTTTGATTATCCAAATGTATATAGTACATCACGATATTAGCTAACTTAATTTCGACGTTTATGTATAAGAAATTCAGGCAATTTATCTGGGTCCCACTGCAAATGCTTCCAAGTATTTGATTGACCAATCAGAAGAAAAAATTTTATTAATTGTCCAGTCAAAAAATACTTAAAAGCATTGCTTTGTAGCGTCAAATGGACCGTAGTCCCAGCTCTCAGATACAGAAGATACGGCTAACTGATTTCATCGAAAAAAAAACAATGCCGATCGAACGAACATTTAATGAAACAAAAAGAAGAGATTATAATTTATTTTTATTATCCATATGTATTCAAATGTATATAAATGTATAGTGCAATATTTACTGTCAGGCCTGAAAATTTAGTGCACATAATGCACTACTAGGTATTATAAATTTTCAGCACTGATGGTAAATTGGAATACAATGCAACCATAACATCACTATAGTGAGCTATTATATAATTAGTACCTAATAATAATGCTATTAAGTATATTAATTTAATTTCATTTAATTTAAATTTTAAAGACATTCAGGCAATGTATCCAGGAGAGGCAGAGAATACTTTTGATACCTAAGAGGCATGATTTCACGTCATTTCACATTGAAGAAAATCAATCCTGGTCGATAGGTCACTCATTCTAAAAAGTTAATAAAGAAATGAAACAATTGCCACTCACGTGTCACCGTCGTCGTCTTGCGTGTAGTACAGCTGCCAGGGTTCCTCGTCACTCGTCGTACGTTCTTCATCGCTGGCCTGTTGGTGATGCTGCTCGAACTTGGTGTCATCCTTGTTATCCCGCGTCACAGGCAATAGTTTGGGGGTCGTCAACACGGCCTGGATCAGTTTGCCCTTGGCGGCGAGCGGGTTTAGGTTGACCTGCTTCAGGCTGAGCTGATTTAAGGTTTCAGTGAGATCGAGATCTACGCCACTATCGATCGCCCTCATTGATTCCTCAATGGCGATCGCCGCCGACGTTGTCGATGATGATGATGCCGCTGTCGTCGCTGTGACCTGTTTCTCCTGCTTCACTCCCTCCCCCTCCTCCCACTCTTCCTGCGAGTGCAGCAACCCCGAATCGCCGCTAATCTCGCCGCTGAACTGCAGGTTGCCGCCCGACAGGAATCCGGAATCAATATTGCCCACTTCGTCCTCGTATTTACAACCGCCGACGACGTCGTCGTCGTCGTCGTCGTCGTCGTCGTCGTCGTTATCGTTGTCGTTACTGTACTTTCGCCGCCCTTGCTCCTTGTCGTCCTCTGTAACACGTTCTTCCATCTGGGTGCTTTTGGGATGCCACATTTTTTTCTTTCGAGTTGTGCTTTCAAGATCCAGAGCCGTTTTCTAGCTTTCGCTCGATCTCTTTCGCGCGAGAATAGCACTACTCTCCTCTTTCTTATCCTTCTTTTCTCTTACTGAAACTTTTATTAAATATCTATCTTGAATCGATAATTTCCAATCGGTGATCGTGAAACGAAGAGAAGAAGAAAGCAGTACGTGTACACGACGAAGTCGCGAGTAATACTAACGGGATTCTAACGAATGGGCAGCTAAAAACCAGACCTAGCTCGGCCGAACTACCTATATGGCTGTGTTCTCGTCTCGTTGACACGCTCGATTCAGTCGCGCGGAAAGAGTTTTAGAGAATTCCCACGCACGATGGTTTTTGTTCGCAAAATGCGACGTCTTGTTATGCGATCTCCACTTTCTCGTGTGACCTTTGCTACTGCGCTACAGTGTGCGTCAAGGTGCGTCAAGCGACAAGCACCTTCGATAACACACTTGTTCGATTTCCATACACCACCGGTCGAGTCCCGACCGTCACAATGTTCAGCTCTTCCGTCCGTTCGTTCGTTCGTTCGTTCGTTCGTCACGACGATATCGTCACCTATATATTCGACACGATCCTTCTCTTGCTCTTCTTGCTCCTCTTTTTTTCCACGGAACAGCTGTGCCCTGCTGTGTCCTGCACTTTGATCCGCTCCCCTCTCCCACCTCACGTCACTTTCTTGAATGGTGCTCGTTTGTGTACTCTCGGCTCTCGCACATCCGACTTTCTACAAATTCTACCTCGTTCTATTTCATTCCGAGCGCCTTTCACCGAGCCACAAAACCGCCGTTCTCGACTTCAGGAGAATTCTTTTATTCTATCTCGCCATCAAGGGAAACAGATGGAAAGTGTTCACCTTTATCGTACGATACGTGATTTGTGCGACGCGATGAGTTTCGTGACCGAGTGATCGCAAATGAACAAACCCTCCGTCTCGTAATCTCAGAACGAACTGATCAGTGAACAGTAGAAAGAGAGATTCGCGTTGTTGCCAAACAGCGTTTGTTGCGCATGCGTGGCATCATCAAACAGAGCATGCGAAGGGACGTACATGGAGCTTTTTTCTTTATATCCGAATCGACCGAATCCTAAATTGTTTTTTTTTTTAAGTTTTTACTTGTGTTGGACATGATGTTGGAAATTGAGATCTTGGAAAAAGAATGAATAAATCACATTTGAACAATTGGATTACATGACCAATGCGATTGATCAATTTTTTTCTCTGTCCGAGATCGATTTCTAGCATTTTGGGTACAAGGTTTTACTCTTCGATGTCCAAGTATATATTTCATTTTAAGTGCAGAAAATGTAATACCCAGTGCAACTATTATAGACTGTCGTTATATTGATTCTTTTTTTTTATAAACACTTGTTTAATAATAAAATTAACTGATTCTTTAAATATTGTATACGATAGTATATTTATGATTATTACACTGGGTATCATATCTTCTGCACTTAAAATGAAATATGTATATAATTGGAATCGAAATATCGAAAAGTAAGATCTTGTATCCACAATGCTAGAAATCGATTCGAGGAAGAGAGGCCCAGACGGTATCTTTAATTGCTTGAACTAGACACTTGACTGAGATCGCATTCGGACACGCATGCGCAAGAAAGATGGCCGTTAAGCATGAATGCTAGCGCGGAGCGGTAATTCCTGAGCGAATGGAGTAGGGGCGGAATGGGAAAACCCATTGGGCAGGGCAGAGCAGCTGCGTGGCTGATGTACTCGTATCTGTATATGCAGTGTAACCGATACGATACGGACTCTCATTCTATAGATAAGGCGGTAAAGAAAACGATTTGCGTAACGATATTTCGCGTGAAATTTAATGTATGGAGCATCGAGCGTTTCTACAAAAATTTCCGATATTTAATTCATTATCGTAATAATATTGACGATAAGATTGTAATGCTGACGATAACACTATTTTTAAATTAAAATACTTATTTATCTTTTTAGAAAAAGAAATGCGCAACCTCCCTCTGATTAACTCTTTCATTGTTATTTAGGACACGCTCTTATTGTAATCGCAGTTGATAAGATAGAGTCGAATAGTGTCAAAGATTCAGGTATTAAGTCCGGATCTACAATAGGTGTTTTAAGTTTTAAACCATAAGAAATTGACCAACTACAGTCGAATGCGAGGGGAATAAGTGATTATGATTTATTCATTCCTTATAACTTAAGGCTTAAAAATCTATTGTAGATCCGGGGTAAGAGGAATATCCACTGAGTGTTTACATCCTTTGCGGTTGCGTGAAATTCTTCTGTATCTTTTATGACATTAGGTTTTTACCGCAGATAAAATGGACTGCGAAGAAAATGACATGAGGGAACGTCCCACTTATATAATTCGCGTGAAATACGAATGAAATAGCACATTGCATGTGTTGAGCCTTAATATTGAATTAATCATATCTTAAGAGTATTTATAGTGATCTGATCTTACATTCAACCTACGATTATAGGCGCGTTTTTTTTTTAAATAAAAAAGAGTTAGTTAATCAGAGGCCGGTATTCACACACAGTCGACTTCTATTATTCTATCTATATTTTCTATCTATATTCTTTTAATTGTACTGATGATGGTCATAACTTGACCGAAACGTTTTTACATATAATTAATTTTAAAGATATGACTTTTGCGAAAAACAACTTATGTATGTGGCTGTATGCTCCTTCTTATTTATGTTAAAAGTACTAACTTCAAATGCAGTTATCTTTTGAACATGCCTGGTTACTTCCCCCCCCTCTGCTCAAAATGATATATGTATAGAGAATATCATTATCTTCAAATAGTAAAAGCTTCAAACAAATCTTTAAAAAAGTCATTTTGTGATACAACCACTTTAAAACAATTTTTTTAAGTCTAAAATTTTCGAAAAAAAAATTGCTCCAAAAACAATGATAATCAAGGAGAATTTTAAAATATTTAGATAAAAGAAACTTGGGAAACAAATTGCTCAAATAATAACATCGAAGGAATTACATGATAATACAATAATGAATGTTACTATTATAAATTGTAATTGAGAGGATGGAATGAAGGCTAATTATATAATTATAAAATCTTGATTTTAATAAAAATTTAAATAACTTGTTATTTTTTTATTATACACAATGGATATATATGTAGTATTAAATGAATTTATATAATGTCTTTAAGAAGTTACATATATGTTACAATATTCTCTTTTCTATTATTAATATTATATAAAAACAAAAGAAGAGCAAAGAACCAATAATGTATAGCAAAGAACTTTAATTTAAATTAAATTATAAAAATCGTATAATAATTACAAAGGACAAAACAAACGTTTTGACTCCGCTTGAATCATTTTCAATTACGATAAACATATTCAAACATCATTATAAACCAAAAATATATTTGGTATTACAAAACTCATCATAAGTCTAAATTATATATTCTTCATTTCGTGTAGTGCGTTGCGAGTCAATTATATCGGAAATCAAAATATTAAGAAAACTGATAGAGATTTTGAACTTATATTAATATCTGAAACATGTTCATGCAGTCTAGTCTTTAACTGTTTTTAGTCTGGCCAATGTAACTAACACCATAATTCTCACAAGATATTCTGTAAACTACATTTTCGTTATGTACATGTTCCAGTTTATCCTTTCCTCTCTTTATGAAATTTTCTAATGTGTTAGGGATGGTAAAGGCCAATTTACAATTAAACATGTTAACGATTGGTGTAAATCTTTCAGATATTGTATTGACATATGGAATAGTAAAAAATTTTTCTGTGTTATCCTTGTTATTATTCAAACTATTAATATTGATGAATTAATAAAATTTAATTCTACTATGAATAGTTGAGAAAATAAAATGCAGAGATATCCATTCTTTAACAAAATATTAATAGCGTCAATTAAATTATTTTGTTGGAACTTCGGATGACATAAAGGAAAAAATCTTATCCACAATTCCATAAATTATATCTCTTTTGTGACAAAGCGGATGGTATGAATAGAAATTAAGGAATCTACTGGAAAAGGTTGTTTTACAAATCTGTTATTGCTTATGATGCTGACAACTTGCCATAGATTTGTCTTCAACTATTTCGAACATACCGACATAACAGCATGCAAACAACAATGCGTATATATATTGCCAGTTTAACAGCGAGATAGCTATGTCAATATTATCTTGCGTTGGCAATATGACAACATTATATGATGCTCTGCATATTATTATGGCAACATGATGGCAATAGTACGAATTTTGATAATGACGATTTTAAAGTTGTTGGCAAATTGCTAGTAAGTTGCTACTTAATGTTATCATATCGTGAAGGCATCAAGTTGTCAACAAATGAGGACTCAGTTGCTGTAATTCTGATAGCAACATATACTTAGCAAGCAACATGTCAGCAACAAGACAGACACATTGCTATCTGAGTTTATTTTATACTGTATTCATTTGTGTAATAAAAAATAATAATTTGAAGTTATTTTAATTTTTATTAAAATCAAAATTTTGTAATTAGACCTTTATTCTGCCCATCCTCTCAATTATTACTAATTATAAGTTTACAACAATTATTAGAGTTGTGATAAATGAAAAGTGAAGCAATATTCTAAAAAAAAAACACATGTATTGAAATTTGCTTTTTTTAGAAGGTTTGAGCAAAATTTATCTTAACAAAGATGTTGATGAAATATTTTGCAATTTTTTATAATAATATTTCAATAAAAAATTCAATATTTAAATTAACAATTATTTAAATTATTAAATATTATTTCTAATTGTTGTATACATTGTTATATATATATAATTATTAATTATTGCTAATTAGTTTATAATTGTAATAATTGAATATTGTAATCTCGTAATGATAATAAAAAGAGAAATTAAATTAAATTAATAATTACGCACACGTGTAAGTACCTTTATCTTGCAGATTTCTAAAGATTTCTCTCATGAGCAGACTCGTACTACGCGTGATTTATCGTATACCAATCGCTATGACTTTCATGCCTGCCACATGGTGGACTACTTTCTTCGCGGTTCCTCTGGGGAAGAGCATCACGACGCGACGCGACGAACTCACCGGAAATTCCAGCGGCATTTCCTATCCGAAAGCCTTTGCGATTAGGGCGATGCATAACAGTAAACGTTCTACAGTCGTTTACTGCACGTACCAGGAAATCGATTCGTCGTCGCCACCGCCACCATCAAATGTATGACCTCGATGCGTACAAAAGAGCTCTCCTATCACAAAGGTTTCACATGGGTTTTCCCGTTATTATAGAAGCCACGCGTTAGAATTTAAGAAAATACGGCGTTCATTACTAATTATTTTAAAATCATAATTCAAACAAACATTATCTTTTTTTCTTACTCCTATTTTTTTTTAGATTGTTTAAATCTTATTGATATAATAAACATATAGAGAAATCAGTCATAAGTAGTTGCTAATAAACATTTTTTTAAATAATTATTTTTTCCAACATTTGTGCATTAGATTTCTGCCCAGTAAAATACTATAAGAAATAGTACCATAATTGTTAATAACATAATCGTATAGTTTCCCATTCAACAATTTAACTATAATATAACATACAGTGAGTACAAAAAGTATTCGTACAGAGAAAAAATTTTTGAAAAAACTTTATTTAAAAAAATTAAATATTATCCAGCGAGAAATGAGTCATCGAATTAATGTCGAATCGATATCGATACGATGATTTCAACACCAATTTGACGTCGATTCGACGTTTAATTGATGATCAGATTTTTTGCTGGGTAATTAACAATTTATTCATAAAGAATAAAATAGACTATATGTTTCTTAAAATTGTATATTAATTAGAAAAAAAATATGTATTAATTATAGAAAATATATCATCTGAAAAATAAGCGAAAATTAAAAATTCCATTGTTTGAATACTCAAAAAGTATTCGTACAGTCAAGAAATTTAGCTTCT